TTTAATAAAAAAAATAATCTTAAAAAAACATAATAATTATTATTATAAAATATTAACAAATAAGACAAAAGAAATACAAAATAATATAGTAATCGTAAAATAAATAAAAAGACAAGTAATAGAAAAAAGAATTAAAAAATTAATAATCAATACACACATTCTTGAAGATCGATAAACATCATTATTCAACTCCATCCAAGTTTACGAATTGAAATATAACTTTAATATATGAATTTCATGTCGACTTGAATGTATCATGTATGCGTTGAGATGCTTTCAAGATTAGAGAGTCTTTAAGAGCAAGACAATAAGAGAGAACTTACAAAAAAAAATGGAGATCGAAGGGTTGAAAAAGAAGGATGAAATAAAATGATATTAGCACATGGAAAAATGTTACAATCTTTTGGAATTTTAAGACTTTTGAAATTCTATAATTAATTATTATGACCAAAAATCATTAAATTATTCATAAATAATAATAACATTTTTCATATTCCAATTTTTTGGATTTCTTGTAATTGGTATAGTTGATAATTAATTGATTGATTAATTTTTTTAGTACAATTAATTACTATTTTTAATGAGTATCATAGAGAAATTTATTGAATAAAATGAATGTTAAGAAACTTATTTAAGTGAATTATTATAAGCTACCAATGTATTAGTACATAGACAAATAAATTTGTATTAAAAAGAAAAAACAAAACAAAAAAATGAAGAAAAGAAAAAACAATGAAACACGAGAACCAACGTGAATGAAGAGTTTTAATTAAAGAAGATAACTTAAAAACGACAATAAATGGTAGAGAAAGAGAGAGCTGGGAGACATAAACATAAATCGAAGAGAAAATAATTTTGATATTACAAAAAAAAAGTGAAGGTCAATAGGATTCATAAAAATGTTTCTTCCACGTCCCTATTTTTATATATATTAAAGATAGTTATAATTTTAATAATATTTAAAACTGCGTTCTCGATGAACTTCTTCTTTTCTTAATACTTTTAATGAAACTTAATTAAAGACTCGGTTAAATGGCAATTTTTTATTGGCTAAAAAGAATGCTCACACTAAAATGGGAATCCTAGGGAAGCCGCCAGCTTTACAAGAAAAGGAAAAAAAAAAAAATAAAGAAAGGAATTTTCCAAAACGTATTTGTTTTAAAATTTTGAATAAAAATTAAAATATATGTTCAAGAGATGTTAAACTCACGAATAAAATTGTAAAAAAGGCAATCATACTCTTTAAAACTAAAAAATAAAAAATGAAAGGATTCTCGAATGCACCTTAATTTTTCATTTTAAAAATTTGACTAAGCATTCAACTACACTTTTAGATAAAATTATTTTTTATTTTAAAAATCTAGTTAAGATTTTAAGAACATTAGTATGATTTTTAAAATCTAATAAAAGTAAAAGAAAAAAAATAAAACATGTGTTTCCATTGTTAGAGGTAGATTTGTACTTTTAAAACTATATAATAGGTTAAAAGTTGATTTTCAATTTGACTAAGCTGATTTTTGGACTTAGATTCAACGAATAAGACAATGAAAAAAAAAGTGCATTGGGTTTCTTTTATTCTGTTAAAAAAATGAAAATCATTTATAAATTATAGGGACGAGTGATGTTTAAAAATTATACATATATATTTCACATGCTTCCTAGGGACCAGTGACATTTATAAAGTATATAATCTTTATTGGGAAATTTGATTGTAGAAGCATTTAACTTTTTAGTTTTTTAATCTGTCATTTTCATAAGTTATCTGAGCGTCATCCCTCTTATTTTTTCTCTGATTATATAGAATCTTATACTTTCTTATTGTTTGAGTTTTTCCTTCCAATTTTTTGGTTTGGGTTATACGTAACTTCCATCTTTTTCTCTTGGGTTTTACGGAAAAAACACCCCTTTCAGATCTTCCATCGCTTAGAAGCGATTTTGATTTCCAGATCTCATTTCGGTGCTCTCTCGCTCTCTCTCGTTCTCTCGCTCTCTCACTCTCTCGCTATTTATTCATTATATAAATAGATTTTTAAGTAATTAAATTAAATTAAAAATCTCAATTCTCTCTCTTCCCTCTCGCTCTCTCTCGTTCTTCTTTCTCCCTCATCACTCGCTCTCTCCCGTTCTTCCCTCTCCCTCATCTCTCGCTCTCTCCTGTTCTTCCCTATCTCCCTCATCTCTTTCTCTCTCCCGTTCTCCCTCTCTCCCTCATCTCTCGCTCTCTCCCTCTGTCTTCCAGGCGTTTTTCGATGATATTCTTCTTCGACGGCGGGTCTCACGTCTACACGAGCAACATCTCCTCCCTTGTCACCATACCTTCTCCTGGATTTGCTAAATATTTTGAAAAATCTAAACTTCCCTTAATAGTTTTTCTCAACTGGGATTTTGGGAAAAATATAAGACAAAAAAATCAAGGGAGTGGGAGGAAAGAAGAAAATTATGGGAAAAGAGGGATGAAGGAACTTATTCTGTATAACCAGTAAGGGAGATGATGGAGAGAAAAAATGGGAAGAGAAAAAGGGGAGGGATGAGAGAGATGACGGAGGGAGAAACATAAAAGGAGGAACATGATTGTCATTTGGCAACAACAAACGCCCTAGAAAATTTAGGTTTCGAAAAGGACGATCAAAAAACTAAAAATGTTATATAGAACGCTTATTTAGTCAAATTTCCCACTTTTATTCCCGGGGTGCCATAAATATCTTGGAAGGAAATCACACTGCACCTATCTTACTAAACTTTAATAAGTCAATTTCGATCATAACTCTTAATTTTAATTTTTTTAGAGGTGGAATTCACTTCAAGTTAACTTTAGATAAGCGTAAAATTAATATTTGTTTGAAACTAAAATAAAAGATATCCACAAACTAACTAGCTAGTAAATTATATAGAAGTTAACCAATAAAAAACTTAATATACAAACCATAGAACCCCAGAAATTCGATCCTGTTTGGTAATGTTTGCGTTCCTTGATTCCAATTTTATTAAGAAACCCAAATATTTGACGCTATTTATGTTTCTTGGTTCTCATTTTTTAAAACATTATCAAAATTATATAGAAATTTTGGAATAATAAAAATAAGTCTTGTTTCTTGTTTCCATTTCCAATTTGCTCTAAAACATAAAAAAATCAATATCTTCTAAATACTTTTCTTCACAAATCGTCGAGGTAAGTATTAGTAATCTTCATTGTAATTTTTTTAGTACAATAAGTGGAGGTGAGAGATTGAACTCGCAACCGCTTGATTGGAGATATATACCAATTACCGACGAGCTTACTCGCTTTAATATATAAGGTTTAAAATGGATATTTAATGCTTTAATTGGTTTACTCGTGTTCGGTTTTAATGTTTGTTGTTTTTTTTTTGAGCTCTTGTAAATTAAAATTTTTAGTCCTTATCCCAGCATTATTTATTTAGTGTTTTTTAGTACAACCAATAATCCTTATTCCAACCTTGTTTTGGGATGAAAGATTCGTAAATATGTTGAAACAAAAAGATCCGACAGAGAAATGAGAATCTTTCTTGAAGGCTGGCACAATTTCATTATTCATGAATGTGAAATAATGCAATTGTTAAATATAAAATTAAAGATATTCTAATTTACAAAAATAACCCTTAAAATGTCTACACTTTCTTTTATTATAATTTATAAAAAGTTAAAACATTTAAAATGGCAGACTTATGGACCACGTCTTGGGTGTCGTAGTCCCACTAATATACATATTTAATATTTGGGTCTGATCCCTCATTTTTTATATATTATTGCATTTTGGCCCTACCTTTTAAATATTCTATTGTAACCCTATTGATGCTGAATTATGCTAAACCATCGAAGATCGACTTCAAATGAATTCAGACAAGTTAAGATGTCGGAGGAAAGACTTGCAGAAAGGAATAAACACTAGAAAACTCAAGTTAGTTCGAGTTCAAACTAATAGCTTAACATCGTGTTGATAGTAAAAGACAAGTTGGTTTATGATCGTTCCAACCGGTAGTTATATGGTTGTCAGACTATTGGCGACATCATCTCAAATCCGTTAGGTGCCCTAATTAAGACTTCTTTGTTACATTCCACCTGATACACCTAGCTCGAATTGTTCGTTAGGTGGTAGAGTTCCACGTGGTGTGTCGGCTTTTACCCTCCAAAAAATTCTTAAACTTTCATATATACTTTTTTTTGAATCCTTAAATTTTGCATGAAAATAATTTTAATTATTGATGTTAATTTCGGGATGAATTTACCTAAATAACATGAAATAAATATATATTTTAAATATGGTAGAGAAGGTGAGATTTTACGAAAAATAGTATAATCTAAATCAAATTCAAACTCGAATTTACTATAAAACAATACAAAAAAAAAAGAAAAAAAAACAAATGAAAATGCTGAAAAGTTGTGCGACATTTTTTAATATACTAACTTGATGCTGCATAGTGTATTTATCTAATTTTTTCAACTAAATCCTTTTGCAAATTTTTTTTTTGAACGTTTATAGATCTACCTTTGTCAAAATGAGCATAGTTCAACGGTAAATGACACATATCTCCAATCAAGAAGTTGTGAGTTCGAACAAGATAGACCTACATTTAGAATCAAACTCAATTTTTTACACCCAATCACTCTTTCTTTTGTGGCCAATTCTACTCAATGCCCGTAAATATTATTTCGGCCTACAATCATCTTCTTTGTCGATAAATGTCACCGTCTTGCCACATTGAATAATGTTTTCTAAATCAGGAACGTTATTATCATTTTTGAAAAGAAACACCATTTCATTAAAGAAAGTATATGTAAGGAACAAGCAACGAAAGAAAAAAAGGAGAGTAATTAAATGAAAGCACTCCAAAAGTTTAGAACTTAAAATTTCCGCTTTATAAATTTTAGATGCTCAAAATAGAAATCGAGTCCAAACCTTCCATAGACAAGAGAAGAAAACCCCTTTTTATTTAACTATATAAAGTCTGTTTCTAAAGAAACAGAAGATCCCCATGGGCTTACAATACATTAATACATCACATTATATTACATGTACATCCATTCATAGAAGAGAAACAAGGTTTTCGAAGGCTGCTTGTGACTAATTACAAGGCATTGGCATGGTTGAGGGCTGCTGCTGATTCCAGTCCACCAAGAAAGGCACCACAAACTCACTCAAAGTTTCATCAGATGCTTCAGCATGAGCTCCTGGTACTTGCTCAAATCTCACTCTTCCCACCTCATTCAAACTCCTCAACCCAATCCAATCCTCTTTATAAAGATCTATCTGCATATTATGTGCCAAAAACCAAGTTAAATTATAAGTTTCGTCTTTCAACGTTAAGGATTGTGTATAATAGAGGTTCTAAAACCTTAAGGGCCGTTTCTAAACTTTCAACATCGTGTCTAATCAATCTCTCAACTTTGAAGTGTCTAATGGGGTCAGTGTGTTGACATCCATAAATGGATTAAATTTACCATAACCTATGAGTTTAAGCTTTTGGATCGAGTGATGGTTCATTCATGTTAAGTTCAAAAAACTAAAACGAGCATCTGATTCAAAAATAGGATCTGGTTAAAATCCATGGGCCAAAAGAACCACGATCTTGAGGGGACATGTTAAGAATTCCGCATTGAAATAATTAAGAACACCTCACAAAAATTTATAATATGCCTGAGCTACTCTTATTATAGTCAATTAATTTTAAGATCGAACCTCATTGGTACGTATTGAGACGGAAGCCTAAAAATATTGATATAGTGAACTTTGTTGGGGTTGCAAGGTATACAAATAAAGTCCCACATTGATTAGGGAATGGGTGATCATAATATATAAGAGATGACAATTATCTCTATTAATACGAGACTTTTGGATGAAGCCAAAAGCAAAGCGTCTTCAACAATTGTTGATCTAATAGTAGGGTCCTGGCTTATGACATATTTTAAATTTAAAAAATTTATTGTTTCTTATTTTGTCATTTAAGAAATATGTGTAGAAAAAACATCTGTTTTTAAGTTTTTTTCCCAAAATGTATTTTTTCAAGTAAAGCATTCAAAATTCTAGAAAGAAAAAACAAGAAATAGTTGCCAAATACATGTTTGTGTACTTTTTCAACATAAAATAGAATAGAAATGACAACCAACTACTCAACAGACTACTTGAAAAATGAAAAACAATAAACAAAAAATAAAAAACAGAGAACTTTACAAAAACATATCCTCTGTCAACTGCTCAGACTACTTGATGATAGTTGATAATCACCAAAGAATCAAGTTTAATTTTTTTTACTTCATTTTTTCTCCAGCAATTTGATTTTTTTTCTTCTTTTTGTTGGGTCTATATTTTTTCAAAAGTACTTTTATGGAGTCTATCGAGAAGATTATAAAGTGCTTCTACCTCTTGTGCAGGTAAAATTCCTTCAGTGCTCCCATCTTTATAATATCCAAACCATGCAGATTCTTTTGGAATCAAAACGTTCTCGTTCTCATTCTATTCAATTAAAATAAAACATGAAGATTAGAGCTTGTAAATATAGCATAAAACTAAAAAGATGATAAGAGATGTACTAGGTTTATAATAATTAATAACCAAAAAAAAAAAAAAAACTTACTGCAAGAAGCACCAAGTTGTGCAAGCTACTAAAACGCTCCTTGTAAGTCGAGTTTCTTTCTCCTGGACGTTCATTGTTGAGCTTGGGAAGGAATCTAGAATACTTCAAATATTCCTCAATTTTCTGAAAATTTCATTTATTAATTCATTAATCATCACTAAATTCAATAATACAAAAGATTAGATATATCTATAAAGGATTGCAACCTTTCATCTTAAACATATGGCTCAATCACTCCTGAACCCAAAAAAGATTATTTAATATATTTAAGATGGTATAAGACCATGAAATCCTGTGTTTGAAGTACCCTTGTACTGTCGTTTCCTCCGTGTTTAATATTGATTTTCACTCGTTGGACTTTGTGCAAATTTTCAACACCCATCAACTTAAGCTTTTGAGTCCAGGGATATGATTTATCATGTCTAAAACAAAATAGCCACACTCTAATTATAAATCAATATTTTGATGCAACCAAGTCTCCTTTAATTCCTTACAAACAAATGGCCTTTAATCTTTTTATTTAATTTTTCTTTCCAAAGAGGCTATTGAAGTTAGAAGGGATTTCAAACCCTTCATAGATTCTTTATATTCAAGGTTTGAGTCTAGATGTTTATATATTTTTAATTTTTGATATTTCGATTGAGATACTCATAAATGAATTTAATTTATCCAATCTATCAGTTTAAGCTTTTGGGAAACAGTTATTTTAGTTTTTGTCATTCTTCTACCGTCAATTGTTTAATATGTGTGTGAACTCAACAAAAAGGAAAAAAAAATAGTTTAACAAATGGATGACATGACTCTAAATGTGTACTGGTGTGTTGAATGGGCATATATATAGTTTCGTGTTTTTAGTACAACAAATATAGGATTTAGACCTCTAACCTTAAGAGAAAGAGTAAATACCTTATTATTGAACTATACTCGATCATATTGTTGACATGTATTGAAGCTACATAACATAAGTAGGCTAAGGTAGAGTATTATATTTCAAATACGCGATCCATTTTTACTAAAAAAAGAAGGGTTTATACTATATTATTTAGGGCTATATGACTTGAATATATGCCATGATCCGCAGGTTAATAAACATAGCTCAAGTGCACACAAGGTACATCATCTATATAATGGTATACAATAACTATAATGATCAAAATGATTATTTTTGAATGTTCAAGATTAAAATATATATTACGAAAAGTTGATAGCTACTAAGATAAGATTTAAACCTTAATTATTTACTTACATTTGGGAGTTTATAATAGGTGGCAGCAGCAGCAAAATCCTATATATAAATAATACCAAGAAAGAAAGTGTGAAATTAAAACACAGGCTTTAGTCAACTATGCAAAAATGACCATAAATCAAAAGGGGAGGAGGAGACAATTATCCCTTAATTAGTTTGTCTTAGATAACAAAAAAATATATAAAAATTTGAGAATTTAAAGTGTTATTCTTTTTATTTTGCTATTAATGGTGGTTTCAGAATTTGCGTTCAGAGATTTTTTTTTTACTAACTATTACATTTAAAATAACCGCAAATTAATTCAAAGTTAAAGAAAAATGTAACTTAAACAATTAACCTCTAAATTATTGACAGTCTTTAAGACTCTGTAAAATTAAAATTAAAGTTATATAAAAAAAAAGGGATTTTGTCAACAATTAGTCTAGAGAGATGAGAAATGTATATATATAAATTGGAAAAGAAATTCTCCTATTCAAAACATTAGGATATACATGTAAATATAACAAGAAGAAATTAGAAGATGCTTACTTGGCCTTCTTCTGTATAAACTATGCCATTGAACCAAGCTTGGATCACTGGGCATAGAATTCCAAACTGATAATAGATCAATAATTATATTTAGATTGGCAAAAATGATATATAATAAGGAATTAACGATAGAGAAAAATGATTTTGTCTTACGATATTTTCACAAAAAGGAATAGCTGCAACACCAGCCTGAGGACCTGCCAGAGAAATAAAATTCTTAACCTATTCCAATTTTTTTTTTCCAAAAAAGAAAAAAAAAGAGTAAAAATAAAAGAGAGAATTAGAAATCTTGTGATCTAAATATGAAAACTAAAAAAAAAAACTTGAAAGCCGAAACACTTACAGGAGGTGCTCCTTCACAGAATTGTATTAGTCCCCTTGCTATTAAAGTACCCTATTAATTTCATAAAAAAACAATAGAAAAATAATGAGAAGTTGTTTTAATACAAAACATTTATAATTAGTAAATAATATATATTGAAATTTTATTTTCAACAGTTAAATTATCACATAATTAAGTCAAAGCGAATCTAACTCAGCCATAATTGGCATATACATCCAAGAGATTGTGAGTTCGAATCCCCTAAAAAAAGAATTATTACATGATTAATGACATATATTGTATCATTTTTCTTCTTCTTATTTTCATTTTGTTATTTCTATTAATTTGGAAACAAACGTATAAATTTAATTACCTGAAAAACAGCAAAGATATTGAAACCCTCCCTTAAGTATTCTAATTCCTTCACCTGTTTTTGAACATAGAAAATGAGTCTCTCATCAAAAGATATATATATTTTTTTAAATAATCCACGAAAAGTTAATAGTACAACAGTTAAAAATGATGCGAGGTCCATCAAATAAAATAATAAATTATGTAGAAATGAGCCCGAGGAATATAGAAAATAATAAAATATGACAGTTGACAAACTAAAATACCACACCTTGTCACAAGCAATTTGTATCTGCACCAAGTAAAAAAATGAAAAAATAAATCAACAGTTTTACATCAATACATCTAAATTTCAAAGAATATTAGCTCTTATTTTTCTCTCTTTTTATTTAAAACAAAAGAAAATTAATGTGTAACCTGGTCGAGAATGGGCATAGAAAAAGCATCGTCACTCCCATTACCAATTTCTCTATAAGGCAAAGAAATGGAATAACATCTTTAATATATATATTTCGTAAAAAATAAAATAGTTCAAAAATATTTTATTAATAATCTTTCTTAAAAATCGTAGGTCTAAATTTATATCTCTTTCTTTGAATTAAAAAAAAAGTTAAAAATGAAAATTAAACATACATGCATTGGCCTCCAACACCTGCCGCACCCTTCAAGTATGAAACAGTGTGGATTGAATTGTCCGATGAACATACATCAAGAAGGCCTATAAAAATGAAACACATTTTTACATCTTATTAAACATGATATTTTGACGGTGGATTTATTCTTTAACTAATTAAACTATATTCAAATTGACAATAGAAAAGAGTTATTATCTAAACATATTATAGAAAAATTACACTTGATCACACAATGCCAAAATATTATTATTCACATACGTTATTTTAAAAGAGAAACAACTTTTAAACAAAAAAAAGTCCTCCAACAACAGTAAAAATTTTAACTTAACATAACTCAAAAGGTTAATACATCATAAACTTTATTAAAACAAGAAAGGATATATAGTAATTATTCCATCATTTTTTCATTCTGAAAAGCAAAATGTTAAAGGGAAATATTGTAATGTGTTTTTAAGTAGCTTGTGTTATTTCTCAAACTATAGTTTTGGTTACGACGCCTAAGAAACAAATATAGAAACATACGATACCGTGTAAGACCACGGAGGGTAAAGAATGAGAAGTCGAGACGAGAGGGCAAAGAGGAGGAAGAAGAGGGAGAGGGAGGTGTGAAAAGTCATTTGCTTTAATTTTGAGTGTTAGAGGTTTTGTAGCATGCAAGATGGCTTTTTATAGGAGAAGCTGAGGCCATCTTGCATGCTCATATTACAATTGTTCCAAACAAAAGCTTCCAATTTATTAAAAACATATACAATGAAATAATTGGATAACTTTGGGACCATTTGATGTCCATCATATTTTTATAGTTAAAAAATTACTTTATCTACTTTTAGTGGTTGCTTGAGCTTTTTTAGTTTTTTTTTTTTTTAAATTCTAAAACTTTTATTATGTATTATTTGTTTAGTTTTAGGGTTAACACAAGTTTGGCGATCAATTTCGTCTTGTATTTAATTTTTTTTAGTTAGTAAATAATCTTTTAAAGTTGTGTCAATCAACTTAGTTTTCATATATCTAGTTAAATAAAAATGACAAAATACATTTTTGATCCCTGAAATTTGGGATATGTATCTTTAATCTTTGAAGTTTCTAAAGGAACATTTTTAATCGCTAAAGTTATGAAATTGTTGTAAATGATACCTGAAATAATACTTTGATGGTTAATTGACTAACTTCAAGATGATTTGATTGTTAAATTGCTTATTGTAATAACTGATCTATATCATTTAAATAATATTTTTATGGTAATTGAATTATCTTCCTCTCTTTCTCCTTCCTCCCTCCTACGAACTTCGCCGCCGGCCACCTCTTCGCCCTCGCTCGTCTGCCACCAACCTCTTCATATTGTCGCTCGCCCGCCGTCCTTGCTGGCCGTCCCTCCTCCATTTCAGATCTGAAAGAATATTCCAAATCTGAAATGAAGAGAGAGGAAGATAGCCCTCCATGGAAGACTCTAGCTACTATTCCACATGGAAAGTTTCAGATCTAAATCTAATTCCACAAATTTCATATATATATAGACACACCCTCTCTGTTGATGTTGAATTCTGTTGAGCTACTAGGATTAGCTTTGATGAACCTGAACGAACTATGGATGTTGATGTTGAATTCTGTTGAGCTACTAGGATTAGCTTTGATGAACCTGAACGAACTATGGAGGAGTGAGTTCTACGAGGAACGACCTTCACAAAAAGAGCAAACATTCTAATGTCCAAGTAAATAAGGGTTCAAGCTTAGTAGGTAATTTTCATATAGAATTACGTATCTGAATCAGAGAAATGACGTTCCTTTTATAAGTAGCGTGGGAGGACAAGTTCGTTGGAGTCGTTCCAAAAGGAGGTTTGGGATGGTTATGGGTTGTCGGGTCAGAGGTTGGAATCCTTAGGTTGGTTGAGGTGAACTTAGTGATTCTCCTACTTGTTTGATCTCAGCTAAGTCTCAAGAGTAGGTTGGTCTGCTTTCTTTGGTTTGTTAAGTTGTTTGGGTGTTGTCGAGCTAAGATGATTGGTCCACGTGTCAGGTTGAATTCTACTCTCCAAATATACCAAAAGTTAATTTATGATTTTTTTTTTAATAAATTTAGGATAAATTTTGGCGTTAAGATTTTTGGTAAACTATATAAATCACATAGCTATATGCATTGCTCTCACAAAATTTAAAATATTATTAAAAATCGAACTCTCAAACTTACCTAACTATCAAAATTGGATGATACTATTTTCATCCGATGAATGAAAAATTTATTTATCAAATACTAAAAAAACAATGAAAAAGGTGAGAGATAAAAAAGACAAACGAAAAGGTGCTTCTCTTAAGATTAACACATATTTTTTCACAAAATTTTTCGTCTAAATTAAGGAGGAAGTTGTTGGAATTAGTTGAAGCAGTTGTAATATATATAATTGTTTTAGAATATTATATAAGAGAATTTGAACCTATAAAAAACAATACTAAAATATTATCACTTGAGTTATATTAAAGTTGAATATTAAATATTCAGATTACCTAACATATATTTTAAACCGATTTGAAAGACAATTCAAGTATAGGTTTGTAAAAAGAAATATAGTGAAACAAAAGGTTTTTATTTATTTATTTAATGGTTGAAAAGGAGAACACAAAAGCTTTCACGCAATTTGCACTAAATAATTAGCCATACAGTTTTTGTAATAAATTTTTAAATCTTATTAATTTGGTCCAAATAGACTAAGGTAATTAAGAGGGAATAAGTTCAAATCCCATGATGGCAACCTACCTTAGGAATATATATACCAATAAATGGATTTATGATTTTGTGTGTTGTTTTGAACCCTACCTAAACCCTATTTTTTCCCTAGATTTTTTTTGGTACGGTTTAACCCTTTTGAAACACACATTAAGATGACGCCCATTCTTTTAGATAAACTATTTTGGTAATGACTAATCTCATTCCTATTGAGTTATCGATTTCGGTTTTGAACAATGCTCCCTTCCAAAAACTCATTCCTTGATGAACTATATAGTTTTGTACTGCTTAACTTGTTTTTTTTATATGCGGATATAATATCTAGTTTAACTAGTTTAAAAATGTTATCTCTAGATGAAGAAATATTAGGGTCTTTTGTTTGTGTGGTGCAAAATTTAGGTGAATAAATATCCTCTGTAGACTGCAGTTCTGGTTTTTCATAGTCCATATTGTCAAAGATTCAAATGTGATTGTTGTGGTACAAAATTTTGGAGTGGATTTTTGTATATATGCAGATATAATATATATCTACAACTAGTACCAATTGGGTAGTTATAGGAACTCGATAGTCGGATATATTTTATATTTATTGTATAGGTTTATCTTGTAATTGTATTTGATTGAATTTGCTAGGTTAATGTTAAAAGGATTAATTCATAATAATGAAACATGTGGTAGGGTGTCTAAAATTGATAGAATAGGTTTTCGATCTTTGTTTGTTAATTGAGGATTGATGTAACACTATATAAGTTTATATCCAGATGTCTCTTATATCTATCATTAAGTATCAAATTGCAAAATACATTCTAGTTCCGTTGCTAATTTTTGTTGCAGCTGAAAACTTCCTAATATTACTTTTATCGTCTGAAGACATGACTGAAAGATCAGAAAATTGAACCATTGAGACGGACAAAATGTAGAGTGCTGTTGCCTTCTAAGGGTTGGTTCAGCAGAAGATAACAGATCTACGCTATCTAGTGTTTAAGATTTTGATGCTCCAACTTTCAACTTGTTATCACAACTTTAAGTATTGACACTATGTACTGGATTACATTTGAGTTTTTGGTTAGTTATTATTTCCTTTGAGGCTAGATATAGTCAATATGACTCACTATGACTTCTTAATTGTGACTTCACTTGATTTGATATATTGAAAGATTTTTCGTCAAACTACTTAAGTTATACTACACAAGTCATTTATGAAATTACTTAACTGTACTAGACTACACACTTGGTGTCTTGATACTGTCAAAGACTTCACTCTGTTTTTTTTTTAGTCCATAATTTCAAAGATTCAAATGTGATTTAGGTGTGAATTCTTGTATATATGCAGATATAATGATATATATCTACAACTAAGTACAAATTGGATAGTTATAGGAACTCAAAAGTCGGATATATTTTATATTTTCATATTGGTTTATCTTATAATTGTATTTGATTGAGGTTAATGTTATAAGGATTAATTCATAGGTTAATTTACTAGAGCTATTATCCATTAATAGGTTAATTTAATGGTCTCACCTAGTAGCTTGACTCACCTACTAGTTTAAATATCAAGTACTTGTGACTCTAGTGTATTGAGTTTCTTCAAAATTCAAACCATAGATACATAAAACGATAAAAATTGCAACTACGGCAAACAATTATTATTAAGAGGGTTGTTTACTATGTACCCATATATTAAAATGTTTTAGCTGGATATATGATAGTATATAATCCGTTGTTATTTCGTAATTGTAACAATTAAAAAATAGAATGGAAAGCAATGTAATAATAATCTATAAAATATAGTTTGACATGATAAACCAAAAATAAACCAAACCGTGAGTAGCAATAAAAAATTTGAAGCAGTAGCCAAATTTAAAGTTTTGTGAGTAGCAGTAAAAGGATTCAATGTATTGCTTTAGTTTAGTTGCAATGGCCGAAACCCTAATCCACTCTCTACCATCCTATCCTTCCCAATTTCTAGTTCCCAGGTAAACTTTCTATACTTACTTTTCAACTGCCGAATTTGTATCTTTTTGTAATTAATAATAATATTGATAAATCGTGGGAACAAATATTTTTGAATGAGTGAATCAACGGATTAGTGTTGAAATTGAGGCCCACAATAATTAAATGATTATGATTACAATTTAGGGATTTAAAATGTTTAAGATTTCAAAAAAAAAAAAAATTATAATAAATATAAATACAATAAATAAGGGTAAAATCGATATTATAAAAAACAGAAATCTAAAAGTGTAAAATTGAAAAACTTTAGACATTTGTGAAAATAAGTTTTTAAAAAAACGTCCGAAGACATTATCTTTTTTTTTTATATTGTGGAATCGTTGCATAATGACGACAGATCTAAAATTTTATATTATAAAGTTTTGATATATTAGTCTATATATTTTGATTATTAGTTTGTTGAATAAAATGTGAACTAATTTCAGAAGATACTCATATAACTAGAATATATTCTATATTTTGAATTTTTTACAAGGCATGGACAATTTAGAATTGAGAGAGAGACAAAGTAGATCACAAAAGAGGCTACGACTCGTGTACTTATCCCATCCAATAACTTCAATAATTTTCGAAATTCTGCGTATACCTTATAATGTTGAATTGATATGAAATTAATGATGTAGAGTATATTTTCAATCTATATATGTTGCATATACATTGTTTTAATATAGATGCTGCCAGAAAAAAAGTCAAGAAAACAAATGTTCCTTGTTATCGATGAAAATGTTGAGATATGCCGAAAATAAATGTTAGTTGCACCGTTATTTGAGAAAATTAATAAATTGCAACAAAACTAGGAGCGAAAATGACGAAAAATTGAAAAAAATAAAAATTTGTTAACCATTCGAAAGTTTGAAACCGCAAAGTAACGATGGCTGGATGGGTGGGAGATAGACAGAAAAGAAGATATAAACAAGGGAATGAATCGTAAAAATCATGGTAATTGAAGAGGAATTTGGAAGGCTTAAACAAACCATCGAAGTCCACTTTAAGTATTGAAGAAAGAAAAAAAACATTTTTCATTGACATTGATTTAGACACTTATGTTTGACCTAAATGTCGTAAATTTGAATCCCTACCACCACTTGTTGTACTAAAAGAAAAGAAAGTGAAAAAGTCCATCTAAAATACTACATTGTTTTGGATCTAGGGCACAAACAACATTCATGAAAGACTATATAATAAAAGCTGGACATATATAGTTTGATATGAATAGATTGTTAATTTAACTCGTGGGAGAAATTAAGTCTTTTGAAATATTTCAATTTCAAATGGTAAAGTTGTATCAATATTATTGATGTTGGGATTTTGACTTCCTTTGTTCTCACTAAATACGCACCAAACTTGATGATCACGGGATCAGATATCTGCAAAACCGAGCAACCCTAAACCGATGTGACTTCAGTCACACGGGCTCCGATGCTTAAGTCAGCGATGGGAGAATTAATCAGTAAAGTAATTATGGTGTTTTGCTTACCTTTAGGGTTTAGCCAGTAGTTCTATTTATAAGTATTCTTGTGTTCTAGAACCTTCTAGCTGAGCCCATATAACTTTAGTGTTGTTGGATCACACATACTTATGGACCGAGGCACCTCAACCAATGAGAGAGGAGGGAAGGTGGGCCCGACCAATGGGCCGTGCACTGCTTGGCGCCGAGCAGTGGTCGGGGCCGAGCCCTGGTCGGCTCGGTCTTCCCTTCGTTGTTGCCTGGTTGGGCATCTTTGGTCTGGAGAGGCCCATTTCTTTGATCGATTTTTATCTCATAACAGTTGTCCCCTACTCTCAAGATGGATGATGAGTGGCAGGACAATGTCGAGACTTCTATTTTGAGAGTTCTTATTGCCTGGTTGTATCATCTAACGTTTCCAACCCATTGAGCTTCTACCAAAGGTTTATATCCAGTTTTGGATTCTTACCTATCCAACTTTTGCTATTGGTTTTTACCTTGAGTTTGCCAACTTTGTTTTGTCACTACCACCCTTGGGTTTTTAACCTATTTTGCTTTTGCCCATGATTTTTTACCCTGAGTTTAATCAACACCCTTGGGTTTATAACCTATTTTGGCTTTGGCCAAATGGTTTTATACCTTGGGTTCGTTTCCTTGATTGGTTTGACTTGTCTGCTTTCTGTTTCAACCTTGCTGGGCCTGTACGCATGTCTTTTTCAGCACCTTTGAGATTCTCTTCCCTAGTTTCACTGACTGGCTTCTAGCTTATCGACCTGCTTCTAGGTTTGTCCCAGTTCGAGTTCCTTGACCATTGTTACTCACCTGCCTCCTACTTTCACATGATTTGTGAATCCATGGTGGTAGGTCCTGCTCCACTTGTGGTTCGCTCGGACTCCATCGGAAGAGGCAATATCTTCCTTTAGTTTCTTTTGAGATGACATCTCCATCTTTTCGGACCATCTGGGTAGCTCCTTGTCTTTTATCAAGATCTACTCGAGTGGAATTGTTGTTGGGGTATACCTCTCTAGAGTTTATCGTTGAAGTAAGCCACATATATTTTTTTTTAGGTCCTCCATTGATTTATGCTTTATAATAAGCAAGTTGGCCACATGTCCACTCTTATTTCTTCCTCCAAATGCCCTAGCCAATTCTTTGAAGAAGAAAATTGATTTCCTCTTCAATTGTTGAAACCAGACGCGGGTCGTGCTGGTTATTGCGAATGAAAATACCTTGGCTCTGATGACCTTTGTCACTCCGTAGATGTCCATCCATTTTCTGTACGCGTTCAGGTGGCTGGTAGGATCTGTTGAGTCATCGTACTCTCTGATAGTAAGAAATTTTGAACTTCAGAGGGATTATCTCTTCCCCAAGTGGTGTATCTGCCTGATCCATTATCTACTCAGGATCACATCTTTTCGTTTTTTGCTAAGCTCCTGTGCTTTCTCTATCTGCTCGTATCGGCTAAGTGGCTTTTTATTGCCAAGCAAGATTTCTCGAGACCTGGTCAGCTTTCTTGGTTGCTTCTACTGTTGTGGGCTGCTGACTTCTAATGTCGTGCAGTTATTGGATCTGATTCGCAGAAGAGACTTGGTCAGCAGAGTAGACCTGGTCGATGGGATTTTGGCTTCCTTGGTTCTCGCCAAATACGCACCAAACTTGATGATCACAGGATCGGATACCTGCAAAACTGAGAGGCCTTAAACCGGTGTGACTTCAGTCACACAGGCTCCGATGCTTAAGTCATCGATGAGAGAATTACTCAGTAAAGTAATTAGGGTATTTTTGCTTACCTCTAGGGTTTAGCCAGTAGTTTTATTTATAGGTATTCTTGTGTTCTAGAACCTTCTAGCTGAGCACATATAACTCTTTGTTGTTGGATCACAGGGACTTATGGACCGAGGCACCTCAACCAATGAGAGAGGAGGGAAGGTGGGCCCGGCCAATGGGTCGAGCCTTGGTCGGCTCGGTCTTCCCTTCGTATTTGCTTGGTTGGGCCTCTATAGTCTGGAGAGGCCCATTTCTTTGGTCGATTTTTCTCATAATAAATATTTACCTAATTTAGTAGTTTCATCAAATTAAATTTTAGAATTAGACAAGCTCCTACAATTCTTTTCAATTTATCCTATTTCTTTGCTTTTAAGTTTCAATGGTTTCTTTTTTCGATTGGAATATTATCTACAACAAGGGATAATTTTCTTATCCTCCTACTATAACTCTTATTTACTTGATGGTTGGTTATACGTAGTTGAGGATTTAAAATTATTGACTTGTTAGCTTGTTGATTATGCTCCTTTGTTTCATCAATGCAACCATGAAATAAGATTAAAAGGATCGATTTGGAATCATTGGTGGGATGGTTAAGATGAATTATGCATTTGTCGGAGAAAAAACACATTAAACTCTTTTCAATTTATCCTCTTTCTTTGCTTTATGTTTCAATGGTTTCTTTTTTCGAGTGAGATATTATCTACAACAAGCGATAATTTTCTTATCCTCCTACTATAACTCTTATTTACTTGATGGTTGGTTATATATAGTTGATGATTTAAAACTTTTGACTTCTTAGCTTTGTTGATTATGCTCCTTTGTTTCATTAAAGCAACCATGAAATAGGATTAAGAGGATCAATTTGGAATCATTGGTGGGATGGTTAAGACGACTTATGCATTTGTCGGAGGAAAAAAAGCATTAAACTCTTTTCAATTTATCATATTTATTTCCTTTATGTTTCAATGGTTGCTTTTTTCGAGTGGAATATTATCTACAACGAATGATGGTTTTCTTATCCTCCTATTATAACTCTTATTTACTGGTAGTTGAAGTTTTAAAAGAACATTAAATTCTTTTCAATTTACCCTATTTCTTTGCATTAGGTTTCAAGGGTTGCTTTTTTCAAGTGAGATATTATATACAAGAGGCAATAATTTTCTTATCCTCCTACTATAACTCTTATTTATTTTGATGGTTGGGTTATATGTAGTTAAGGATTTGAAACTATTGATCCATTTGCTTGTTGATTATGCTCGTTTGTTCTATTAAAGCAATCATGAAATAAGATTAATAGGATCGATTTGGAATCAATGATGGGATGGTTAAGACGAATTATGCATTTTTCGGAGGAAAAAAACCATTAACCTCTTTTCAATTTATCCTATTTCTACTTTTTTTAATGTTTGAATGGTTGCTTTAATTTTTTCGAGTGGGATATTACCTACAACAAGCAATAATTTTCTTATTCTCCTACTATAACTCTTATTTACTTGATGGTTGGGTTTATATGTAGTTGAGGATTTAAGACTATTGACACGTTAGCTTGTTGATTATGCTCTTTTTGTTTTTGTTAAAGCAACTATGAAATAGGATTTAAGAGGATTGATTTGGAATCATTGTTAAGAAAAATTATGCATTTATTGGAGGGAGAAAAACATTAAACTCTTATCAATTCATCATATTTCTTTGCTCTAAGTTTCAATGGTTGCTTTCTTCGAGTGGGATATTATCTACAACAAGTGATAAGTTTCTTATCTTCCTACTATAACTCTTATATTTGATGGTTGGGTTATAGGTGGTTGAAGATTTATAACTGTTGACTTTTTAGGTCATTGATTATGCTTCTTTTTTTCATTAAAGCAACCATGAAATAGGGTTTAATGCTTTTTTCTCCTTCCACAGATGCATAATTTGTCCCCATTACCTACAAGTGATAATTTTCTTATCCTCCTGCTATAATTCTTATTTACTTGATGGTTGGGTTATAGGTAGTTGAGGATTTAAGACTATTGACTCGTTTAGCTCCTTGATTATAAGCTTGCTTCTTTTTTTTTCTTTTTTTTTTTTAATTAAAGCAACCATGAAATAGGATTTAAGAGGATTGATTTGGAATCATTGGTTGGTTGGTTAAGAAAAATTATGTATTTATTGGAGGGAGAAAACCATTAAACTTTTTTCAATTCATCCTATTTCTTTGCTCATGGTTTCTTTCTTGGGATATTATCTGCAACAAGTGATAAGTTTCTTAAAAAACATTGAAATATAATACCATGGAAGTACACGAAGGGTAAAGAATGGGAATTGGGGCGAGAATGAGGATGGAAAAGAAGAGAACAAGTGAGCGAAAAGCCATTAGCTTTGATTTCGAGATATGGAAGTTTGTAGAGGTGTGAGTAGAAATGGAAATATAAGATGACTTTTTATAGGAGAAGATGATCAAATAGCTCCCTCTCCTTATTGTATATCGTTCTTCGGAACAAAATATTTCAACTGTTTTTTTTTAACGTGTGTAATGGAATAAGAATAAAGTACTTATCTTCTTTTGATGATAACGTGTCATATTTTAATGTCGTTGTTTAAGTTAGTTCTTTTCATTATTATAAAATTATATTTAAACTAGGGGTCTAGACTAATAAAGCGAACAACCACCACCAACWAAACCAATAATTAAACTTAGCTAAAATTACTCGAATCACATAACTCAAACGTTCAATTAATATACCACAATTTATCAACCATAGTCTACTCTAGGGTAGTCTATACTATAGACCATGATTAACATCGATCGTGGTCTACTACGAACGATGTAAGATGTAGTCTTTTATATTACTTTTAAATTTAACATTATTTCATAGCTATACTTATTCATTTTCAATTGAAATTAACGGGTAAAATTAAATAACAATATAACATTCTAAAAAATTTTAAATTTATATACAAACAAGTTAAATTAACTAAAATTAATTACCAATCTAAACATAGCTCAAATAGATAACGAATCTGAATCTATTACCACATCTAAGGTTAATGATTTGATACCCACCATGCAATGGTTGAATTATTAAAAAAAATTAATAATAATAAACTAAAATCAATTCAATCAAACTTGCAATGTAAATTAAACAAATATATTCTACTAAGTTAATCAATCAACAGAAACGATCAAACTTCTATTAAAAGCAATGCAAATTATTCACACAAATAAATGTAAAACATTCTACTAATTTCGTTAGTGTCAGCTTGAGACATAAATTCAATGTTGCAAAATTAATTTTAAAAAAAAATAATTTCATTTAAATGTCGTAGCCTCTTGTAATTAAATTCTTGGTTTAGTATTTAATTAATCACAAAATTAAATTAAAATACCGATAATTTCATTTTACTTTTGGTCTTTGGTTTTTAAAATTACGTTTATAATTACTACATACAGTGATATTTTCTTCATATATACTAGCAGTCACTTTTCTTTTTTTATATAATATTTTTTTTACCAAATTACCAAAAAAAAGGGGATATAAAAAAAGAAAAATGTTTTTGGAAACTCCCTTTTTTCTATAGTTCCAAAAACAATTTTGAAAGTAGAATAGTATAAAATGAAAATAATGGTAGTAAATACTCAGGATTTTTAAAATGAGAAAACAAAAACTCAAAAATATTATGAAACCCGATCCTACATTCTAACTTTTTAAAATTTAGAGAATTAAATAAAATTTAAAGTTAAATTCCATTTTGGTGTTGAAAGTTTGGAAAGTCTAATTTGGTCTGGTTTTTACATGGGGTCGGTTTAGGGTTTCCTTCCGGCCAAACATTCCACAGAATTTGGAATCGAGAGATTTGATAATTGGAATTACACCTTCTTCACTTTAATTAGTATTATGTATCTTTTACCAAAAAAAAAAAAAGGTTAGTATTATAGTTTCTATTTTAGATTTTCCATTAAATTTTATGTTTCTTAGTTAATTGCTTTTTTAAAAAAGCAATTTCATTTAAAACATGATACTAATAAAGGGAAAAACCACTTAAAACCTTTCCAATAGGGATAGGCACAATTCCATAACAAGGAAAAAACTTCTCTGGATAAGAATTTTTATAAGGTTTTTCACGTGGACGCACGGAGGCTACTATAAATGGAGGGCAGAGGGGTGCACTTAGGGTGAGAAAGCAAGAACAAGAAGGA